TCAGAATTCTGAACTAAGTAAATATGTCTTAGAGAGGCAGTAGTATCAATTTTCAGACGCTGTGTTGCACAATGTATTGAATTTCAGTTTAAAGGTAAAGGTTCCCTTGCTCGAAAGCCAGTCGAATCCGACTCTAGGGTTGCGGTGCTCATCTCCGTTTCAAAGCCGAAGAGCCAGCGCTGTCCGAAGACGTTTCCGTGGTCATGTGGCCGGCATGACTAAGCACCAAGGCGCACGGAACGCTGTTACCTTCCCACCAAAGTGGTCCCTATTTATCTACTTGCAATTTCTTGCTTTCGAACTGCTAGGTTGGCAGGAGCTGGAACTAGAGACGGGAGCTCACTCCATCATGTGGCACCCGGGTCTCAAACTACTGAACTACTGACCTTCCACAGTCTGCAGTTCAGCGTCTTAACCATTTGAGCCACCGCAGCTCCTTTTCTTTTCTTTTTTTTAGTAAAAGGCTTTATTAACTCTCCTAAAAAGGAGAGGCATTTCACTTAAATAGAAAAATGGGGAGGGTATATAGTGGGAGAAAGAGAAAGGTGAGTGATATATTAACTTGTAAATTAATCTGTTAGTAATGTCCAAATTATCTTCTTAGGCTTCTTCTGTGTGCAGTCAAACTTCTTTCTTCAAACCAGTTAAAGGTGTTATCTATGTTAATGTGTTAGTACTGTTCTTCTGATGCTCTGTTATTAAAGTTTCCTCATGGCGTATTCAGAACCGTTCCTTCGCGTGCTGGCTTCTTTTAAGTTCCCAATTTCATGGAGGAGCTTCTTCTGTTTCCCTCTCTCCGGCTTTTCCAATCCTCCTTCGGGTCGCTGTTAACGCTTTCAGTTTATATGCTGTAAATCTTCACTCTTTCATGCCTTTTCAAAAGATCTCTAGCTTTGAGAATGGTTTTTTCTTTTTATTTAATTCCGGTTTCGCTTTTAAACGCTCCCATTCTCTTTGCTGGATCTTCCTCCGCAACTGTTGACTTTTAAAAGCGCTTGTACGGCACTTTCTCGCTGTCACAGTTCAACTTTCCTCACAGTTCCCCCGTCAGAGTTGCAACAATAAACAATCCAAACATTAATCAGCCGGCTCTCACGAAAAAGCAAACGCCCAGAACGGAAGTTCCTCCCTTCTCCGCTTGTCTTTTAGCCCAGCTCCGACATCTTGTTATTTTTGTTTACTTTTAATAAAGTTCTTAAAACGCACTCCAAAGAAACAGAATTTTTTCTCGCTTTACTCCACATGCATCAAGAGAAATCACCACTATTCGCACAGTCTATTCCCCCCCCCTTTGTTTTCTCGCTTACGAAGTTAGAGGGTTCGCCTCCTCGCTTTTTCCACTGTAGGGGGGGAGCGCTCTTAATTCCTTTTCTCCGCATTTGACAACTCAGTTTAGCCGATCTTTTCTTTTTTCATTTCATCGGTTGTTCGCTTTATCACTCGGTGACGTCTGGTGGCTCCGCTAAACCCCGTGCGGGGTCGCTCACGCAGCAAGGGCATGGCGAGAGCCTCAATTTCCGACCGCTTGGCCGAGAAAGACCGCAGCTCCTTTTCTATTCCTCCAGTCTGAGACTACACTCAGCAATAAGGGACAGCTCCCAATTTCAAAAGATTGTTCTGGAACTTCCCTCCACAGTTGCCTATCCAGCCTCTAGAACACATACAATGGCACTGTGGCATCCTCTTATTTGGGGAGGATTGTTTATCACTTTCAATTTTCTCTTTGTGTTTTATACTGGGTAGTTTCTGCTGCCACCAGGAATTTAAGGAATTCCAAACCTTCTCTCTGTTTCTTCTGCTGGTAATGCGACCCAGGGTCTGGCTTTCAAAGTTCTATGTGGTTCTGAGGAAGGGTTGAACTGAATTCTGGGATAAACTTAAACAAAATAGGATTTATTGAAATAAGAACAAAATAAGATGCTGGTTATCTGTAACTGTTTGGGAATAAGGGACTTGTAAATAGGTCTAGCAAATGTATTACACACAGTCCTTTTTCCCCTTTTCTTTTTCTTCTGACACTTCTGACTTTCTTTCAGATCTTTAGAGTTTCACTTTTGAAGACATATATGCTGCACTCTTTAAAATTCCATGCGGAATGATAATATCCACCACTGACTGAACTCACTAACTGAATAAATCGAACTGATTTCTCTATCTGACTTTTCACAACTGACTTCAAGACACACAGAGATTCCTTCCAAACAACTCCTCCCACACTCTGTCATCCACCAATCACAGCACACTTGTTTCCCTCAATCATTCTACTCTGCTATCACTGCACTCCAACCAAACATTTAAAGGAACACACACACAGTAAAATAAGGAGTCATTACAGGCACATTCGGAGCCCCTGCAGTGAAAGAAAGGGGAAGAAACAAATGGAAGGAAATGGAAAGGAACTGAATGAATGAAAGGGAAAAAAGAAATTGAAAGAAGGGGGGGAAGCAAATAGATGGGGAGAGAGGAAGAAATGAAGTCCCCAGGATCTCCCCGATCCTCCCCTTTCTACCCAGGCGAGCCAGCAGCTTCTCCCTCCCAAACAGATCCTGCATGCAGCCCCCCTCCCATCAGAGCCTGAATGAAGCTTGGACAATCCCCACTGCCGCTACCCTCCCCCATCCCTCCTTTCTCACCCAGGCCAGCCAGCAGCCTCTCCCTCCCAAACAGATCCTGGATGCAGCCTGGGCAACTCCTGGCCCCGCTGCTGCCGCTACCCTCCCCCATTTTTCCCTTCCCACCCAGGCCAGCCAGCAGCAATGATGGGTAGCCCTGTCTGGCTGCCAGCTGCTGGGCCCGGTGAAGCCGGTGAAGCTTCCCCCCCCCCCCCCAGCAGTGGCTGTGACACTCCCCCCCCCAGCCTTGTCTGACTCCCAGCCGAGGCTTCTCCCCCTGACGGTTTGTGCGGCAGCGTGTCCTTGCGACACCAACAGCTTTTCCTGGCGTTCATAGTGCTGGTGCAGGCAGCAGCGTGGCTTCCCTTGGGTGATCAGTAAGTACGTTCTCTGCGCATGTGTAGAGAATACTGTGTAGATATATAGATAGATAAAGAATGCCCCAAAACCCTCTTAAGTAACTTAGTTTTACAGCCTCACCTGTGGGAGTCATAGCTGCAGGAGTGCAACAGAAAAAGCCCAAGGATCTGGTTGGTAGAGAGATAAAAAACTGTTGTGACAGGAACTGCCATACAGATTCAGTAATCTTGCCAAATTAACCTGATTTTGGAGTTGTTGTTAGGGTGTGCACAAAAATGGTGGGGGGAGCAAAAAAAAGTCAAACTAGATGATGTCAAACTAGAGAGTCTCTGCAGTAGAAACTGAAGGTGTGTGTGTGGGGGGTTTCCCCTAGCCCAGCAAAACCAGTGCTATTGTGTAAATGCCAGTTCAACAGATCCAAGCCGGGGAGGGAGGGGGGGTTTACAAGCACAGCACAGACAGTGCATGTACAGATTGCCCAGCAGAATCAGTGCATGTACAGAGTGCCCAGCAGAACCAGTGCATGTACAGAGTGCCCAAAGAAGGTATCCCCTCTATTGTTTTCAATGGAGGAGAAATAAAAGCTTTTAAGGAAAAGCACTGGGTTTTGCTGGGCACTAGTACATTGCACTGGTACTGCTCGGCATTGCGCTGGCTATGCTGGGCTTGGTACCTTGCTTGGATTTGTTGAGCTGGCATTGCGCCAGTGGCATTGGTATTGCTGGGCACTTTGTATATGCACTGGTTCTGCTGGGCACTCTGTACATGCACTGGCTGTGCTAGGCTTGCAGATGCCCCTCCCCCAGCTTGGAATTGTAGAGTTGTCATTGCCACAGTGGCATTGGTTCTGCTGGGGACTCTGTACATGCACTGGCTTGCGAAAAAACAACAACAACCCTTACTTGGATTTGTTGAGCTGGCATTGCAACAGTGGCACTGTTTCTGCAGAAATGCCCCCTTTGGTTTTTACTGTAGAGACTCTCTGGTTTGACATCAGACCCTGTTTTTTTCTGTTTTTTTCCTCCATTGGAAATAATGGAGGATGGGGACACCTTCAAACAGCCCCCCCCAGACCCCCACATACTCCCAGATAGATTCCCCATTATAGCCTATGGAGATCATTGACTATAATGGTCCCCATAGGCTATAATAGAGCTGAAGGCATTTAAAGGTGTTGTGATCCCTTTAAATGCATTCGTGAAGCTGCACCTTTACCCAAAGCAGTGTTTAAAGGGGACACACTCTCCTTAAATGCTGTTTAACTGTGGCTGTCCTTTCCCAGATAATCCCGATTTTTTTTGAGATTATCAGGATTGGCTGTGCTCGATAGCCGAAAATACACCTCCCTCTACATCCATCTGAAAGAATACCTGATAAATATTGACATAAAGCTGAATGCACACCCCTAGTGGAATTTAAAAGGAGTGGTTAATAAAATGTGTATAGAGTTTAAAAAGACTGAAATAGAGCAAAAAACTTTTAAAGATTAAGATGTCAACCACACTAGGTTAGGTGTACTGATGTGAACTGCAAAGTAGGGCAAGATTTTTTACAGCCTCTGACTAACAATAACATCTATCAGCAACCTCTTGCCAAAATGATTCAGCAGTAGTTCGTTAACTTTTTCTTCTGTCAATTTTTGCTAAGATTAGAATTAGCCTTTTTATTTCTCTGAACGTCTGGTACTGGTGGGTAGCCTGAAATCAGCAGTAGTCTGAGACTGCATTACAGATCTGAGATTTTGAGGAATGACATAGCTATTGGGGTATGATAAACTGAAGCCACAATTCAGATTTGGGGGGGGGGGGTTTGTCCTGTCTTCAACATTATTGCAAGATTGAAAACTGCTATTTTGAAACTCCAAGGTTAATGTTTTCCTACAGGGTATGAAGAACAGTTGTTTGCAAACAAGCAGTCAAACTCTAGGTGATGTGTGGCATTAATCAGACCATTCTCTGAATTTGTGATCGTGCTTTAAGAGATGTTCTTGTACTTTTTTCACATTTGTAATCCTTTCTATTTCCAAAGGTGGATCGTAGACATGGAAGGTGCTCCTGGAACATTATATGAAGGGGAGAAATTTCAGCTGCTGTTTAAATTCAGTAGTCGATATCCATTTGACTCTCCTCAGGTAATTTGCACTATTGTTTGTTTAGCTTGAGTTTTAAAACTGCTATGAATATAGAAAGGAGCTGCGGTGGCTCAAATGGTTAAGATGCTGAACTGCAGGCTGTGGAAGGTCAGTAGTTCAGTAGTTCGAGACCCGAGTGTGCCACATGACGGAGTGAGCTCCCGTCTCTAGTTCCAGCTCCTGCCAACCTAGCAGTTCGAAAGCAAGAAATTGCAAGTAGATAAATAGGTACCACTTCGGTGGGAAGGTAACAGCGTTCCGTGCACCTTGGTGTTTAGTCATGCCGGCCACATGGCCACGGAAACGTCTTCAGACAGCGCTGGCTCTTCGGCTTTGAAACGGAGATGAGCACCGCAACCGTAGAGTCGGACTCAACTGGCTTTCGAGCAAGGGAACCTTTACCTTTACTTTTTTATAAATATAGAATGACAGCTGATTAAGGTTTTTGTTCTGACTCATTGAGCGTTTTTTATTGGCTCTCAAAGTTACTTAGAATTTAAACTATTACACTTTTAATTAAAGACAATTGCTGTGATGCAACAGGTCCCTGGAGAGGCAACATATAAATAAATGCAGCATTCTGTTGGATTTATTTCCCCTCGACAAAGTTTCCCCAAATACAGCTGTATCAGTTGAGACCTGACAACATACTAAGTAGCTGGGATTGTAAATTGAGGGAGGGGGCTGTTAGCCAAATTGCTCCTTAATGGAAACAACCGGTACAGTTATTATTATCGGGATTCTTCCGTCTATGTTTACGGAGGATGGCACTGTTTCCGAGGTTCCCAATGAAAGGCTGAGGCAAAACTTCCTTAATAATAATGATAGTTTACTGACACACTTCACTCAATAATACACAACATTCACAGACACACAAGACTAAGAAGTTAAGGTAGATTAATGCAACACAGTTATATTTGCAGGAAGATGAGGGTTTATAGAGATAGCTTATAGCGGGGTGATACAACATGTCCAGATGTGCAGAGGTCCATGAATTGTGGCCTAAACTCAGAGAGTTTAGGGGTGGACTGCCATTGTGGATTATGACAGAAAACACACACTCTGAGGCCATGGTTACACTGGGATATACCCTATGGAAGACAATGCAGACCAATGCCTGGTCCTGGGGGCTGGTCTCAGGTGAGAACAATAGATTTCCTGGGCCAATGATGAGTCCCAGGGGTGTGTGGCATCAGGATGGGCAAGGCCTAGATGTGACCAATGAGCTTCCAGAGGGGCAGGGTCTGGATTTAACAATAGAAGCCAGGTGCTGGGTGGCTAGTTAAATGGATTATCTGATCTCTAATGGTCCTGGCCAGGGTAAACAAAAGGTGGGAGGCGTCCCTGATTAGCGTCAGGAAGGATCGTTAATAATTTGAATGTTTGATTGGTTTATCCCCGTATCTTGATGGACAGAGTAGAAAAGATAAGTATTCAGACAAAGAATTAAATAGACTTTAGAAATGTAGATACTTTACCGGATGGAACCCATTGTCATTCCATAAGCATAATCTCTGCTGGGTGGAGGGGGAAGACTGGAGGCTTGCTCTGAGGTTGCCTGTCACCTGAAAATGGAGACCCCTTTTTCAGAGCTGTGGCTAGCTCTGTGTTTCAGAACCAAGAGTGCCTTCCTTGGCCTGAATTTTGTGGGTCTCTGGATCAGGTTAGAAGTGGGGTGCCCTTGCTATGGGGCTACCCAATAGTAAAAGGCAGCGCCTCTGGCAACAGGGCGGAAGGTGCTTCTCAGAGATTAATTCTTCAATCTCACCCCTCACTTTCCAAATCCAAATATAAGTACTTGGTCCATGATGTTCTTGCCCACTTATGAGTGCTTCCCTCCCCAACAAAAATAAACTGGCAGTGTACCTTCAGAAGAGATCCAGTAAATATTAAGGACTTGTGGAGAAAGAGTAAGAAGAATAGTTTAGCTAAAAGTATGTTCCGATATGGTTCCCCAAGGACCAACAATATTTTGTACAAATGTGGTATTTCTGTTTACAGCACATTTACTTGTGGGCTAGGTTGTTTAAGACACTTCTCTGAAGGTAGATGTTCATGTCTCTTAAAAGCAGGTATAAATTTCAGTTATACTAGGTCAGGAGTTTTGGCTGTTTGACTGCAACCTGAAAATGGTTATGAAGGTTTAAACAGGAGTGAAGTTTTAAGTAACATAGTTGGCTACTGATTATCAAAACCTGAGGATACTGCCATATCTTTTGACTTACTTGCATTTCCTTTAAATATATATAATGAGAATTAAACATGGGAGACTTGAATGGCAAATACTGTCTACATTGCATCTACTGTAGGCTGCTTGCTGGTTGAAAAATTTATTTGTCTGATTTTAATCATATATGTTGTGAGTTGCCTTGGGCAGAAACTGGGAAGGTGGAACATATCATTAAAATGATAAGATGTTGCAGTTTATGGCGGCGCGCTGAGAAGACTCATCTCCCAGACCTCCCGGAGGTGAAGCTGCGCACCAGCAGAAAGTGGAGGGGGGAACCAGGCGTCGCTATCCCCCCAGGAGCCTGGCGAAAGGCTTCTGGCCAGGGGACTTATGAGAGGTTGCCTCTTCGCCAGCGTGATGCTGGGGAATCGAGGCGCTTCTCCGTCCCGACGGTCCCCCTGCTGAGTGTCCGAATGGAACTAGTGACGCTGACTGGGACAAGTGCTGGAGATCGAACGGCTAAAACGGAGGCTAAGCGAGGTCGTATGACCGAATGTGAACAGTGAGTCGGACTAAAGCGTATTTGCTATTTAAAAAGAAAGCTCCCCACCTCACAGACTAGAAGTAAAGCGAGCGGGGGAGGGGCCCCTCCCTTGCGCATAAATTTAAAAGCGAGACCCGGGCGGGGGAGCAGAAGTAAAAGCGATAAAATCTGTTGGGAAAGACTTACCAAGGCGCGTATGAGCGCATATTCAGAGACTAAATTTTTTTTGCGAAAGTAAACAATCTATAAAGATGGCGGGGAAGAGGACTGAGAAAGAGAAACTTTTAAAAGCAAAAGTAGCTGAGAGCCCGGAACCACCGAGCTGGCCAAAATGTTGGCAGAGTCCCCGCGCCCCCTGCTGGACCAGATGACTAATCTCAAGGAACAGTCGTCAACAATGAACCAATGTATCACTACTCAGCAGACACAATTGAATTAGACTCTCAAAATTACGGAACAAACAGCTGAGAAAGTGAAAAAAGTTGACGCCACTGCTCAAAAGGTGAAGAAAAGGGTACAAAAATTGGAAAAGAAGCAAGTGTCTACAGAAGAACAGCTTTTACAACTACAAATGGAGAAAGCAAACCTGGTCCTTCGTTTCCAAGGTGTCCCAGAGACTAAGGGTGAGAATCTGAAACAAATGATGAGCGAAGCATTGGTCCCAGTGACAGATTTGAAGGTGGAGTTGTTGATGAGTGAGATGGATGTGGCCTATAGGTCGTATTCTGGATATATAAAGAAAAATAATCTGCCTGGGGAAATAGTAATGAGATTCTTGAAGAGGCACGTGAGGGATTCAATCCTGAGAGTGACAGCTGGGTCACCTTTGAAAACGGGGGACAATACTGTCAGGATCTTGAAAGATATCCCATTTGAAATAAGACAAAGGAGAAAGAAATACAAAGATTTCATCCTTTTTCTTCAAACAAATGCAATAGCGTACAGGTGGCTAATTCCAGAGGCCGTAACCTTCAAACTTCAGGATAAAAAAGAAAAGATTGACTCTGTTTACAAAGCACGGGAATTTCTGAGAATCCAGTTGGGAGAGCCAGAGGAGGTGGAAAAAGAGGAGAAGGACAGTAAGTCCAGTGGCGAGCTGGACTCGGGGTCTTCCGGAGAGGACTTTCTTTCGGAGAGCCCCTAAAAGTCCTTACAAACTGCGGAAAAGACAGGATAAGAAAAAATGAAGGCTGAAGGACTCTGAATTGTGCCTTTGAAAATATTACTGTTAATAATGAGATGCTTTGGGGTCTTTTTTCCAACAGTTAAATTTAAGACTTAAAAGTTACGTTAGCATATCTGACTAAGTTCATAAAATTGTTAGCGTTTTAAGGGATGGCTTTGTATTTAAGCTAATTTGATTATCTCCTCTCTTGGGTTTTTAGTTAGTAGTGGTTATCTTTTCTTTCTCCTTAATTGTAGTTCCCCTCCCCTATTTTCATTGTAGTTTGTAGTCCTTATATAAAATGCAATTAAAAAATCCCCTTTGGGGGGCCCAAAAAAAAAAGATAAGATATTATTTGTGTTGTGTGCAGTTTATGTACCTTTTAAAAAGATAAAATGGGCCTGAAACTAATATGTTCATCCTTTTCATGTTGTGCTTTTGTCATTAAGATAAGCGATGCCCCTTGTGAAACAGTAAAGTTAGGACTTTGAAGATCTCACTGCAATAGCTGCTTCTGCACCTATAGGTCCCAAGTAGCATTTTGCTCAATGCTTGTATTGCTCAGCAGCAGTTCTCATAATAACACTGATCCTGTCCATAAAATTATTGATGTACTCATATAATCTAGTGATCAGTTTCAGTATAATGATATCCACAACACAGCTTGGAATTATAATAATTAATACAGGATTAATATTAGATGTTTCTTTAGTAGTAACTATTCTGGTGTGCAGAGCAAATTATAGCACAAACATGAAAAAACATAATGAGCGAGAACATAAATTCCATCCAGATTAATTCCCACTAGCCTCTTGACAATTTGCTAGACTCTAATTGGTATCTGGGGATGATATTAAAGAGTAACTCCAGTTGCTATAAGGGTGCTGTTTTTAATTTCTTCCTCCTTCATGCACTTGTCTTCAAATTGATTTTGCATTCATTAAGATGAATTAATTTCTTCTAGTATATGGAGTATGCAATATAAAAACAGCCTTAATCATAGAAAGCTATGAATAAATTACTGATTTCTAAATTTACATGTGTTTTACCACTAAGTGGATTGCACAATTCCTTAAGTGTTTAGAAATATTTGTGAGCCATTATTTGGTTTTGCAGATCTA